TTTTATGATGATAAACTACCATTATCCAAGAGCATGAGTAAAATAAAATTTTAGCTTATAAATAGTTGCTCCCCTTATGTATAAGACTCTTCCCCTATCTATGTGCATAAATTGAGAGATTTCTCTACTCCTTTGTCAACATAAAAAATGGGGTAAACAAGATAATAAATATGTGTTAAAACCCACAAGATACTCCTCTAAGTGTTGGCCTACCCGTGTCACATTCCTCAAGTGTTTGGATTTACGACCTCTCACTAGGCATTACTACCAACCCACTCCTCTTGGAATTGACCCCGATTTCTCACAACCACTCCACTAAGTATCCTAGTGTGCTTAAACATGTCTTAACAATGTAGATCACAAGAAACAAAATAGATATGAAACCGATAGCTTAAAACCAATAGCAAGCAAAAAGGCATCAAAACAAATATTTAAAGAATGCACATGCCTAATTCATTTCTTATACGACAAAAAAACTTCTTCACTAAGGGGTTTGGTAAAGATGTCCACTAACTGTGATTTTGTATCAATGTAGACAAGGGAAACATCTTTCCTATATATATGATCATGCAAGAAGTGATGTCGTACATCTATATGCTTGGTTCTAGAATGCAAAACAAAGTTTTTTAAAATATTAATCGCACTAGTGTTATCACAAAATATTTTTGTATAAAATCAAAATGAACCAAATTTTATTTCATCATTAAAAGTTATGCACAACACAAGCCGGCGGCAATATATTCCGCTTCCACAGTGGACAAGGCAACACATTATCCAAGAAACAAGTGAGTTACCCAAAAATTAACATTTACCACTCATACTCTTACGGTCTACCTTACATCCGGCAAATTCGGCATCACAATAACTACAAAGATCAAAAGAAGTGTTCTTAGGATAAAACAAATCAAGTTCTATAGTGTCATTTATATATTTAATAATTCTTTTAACCAAAGTTAGATGAGATTTTCTAGGAGAAGCTTGAAAACGTACACATGCACAAACACTAAATATAATATCCGGTCTACTAGCGGTGAGATAAAATAAATTACCTATCATACCTCGATAAAGCTTTTGGTCTACCTTTTCACCATTCTCATCCAAGTCCAACTTGATGGTAGTACTCATGGGGGTTGGTGCATGTTTAGAGTTCTCCATTACAAACTTCTTGACCAACTCTTTTGCATATTTGCTTTGTGACGCAAAAATCTCATCCTTTGTTTGTTTGACTTAGAGACCAAGAAAAAAATATAAGCTCACCCATCATGCTCATCTCAAATTGTTCTTGCATAACTTTGAAAAATTTCTTACACAAAGATTCATTAGTGGCACCAAAAATAATATCATCAACATAAATTTGAACCAAAATAAAACCATTTTTCCTTTTTCTAATAAATAAAGTATTATCAATTTTTCCTTTTGAAAAACCATTATTAATGAGAAAACTTGAGAGGCGAGCATACCAAGCTCTAGGAGTTTGCTTTAACATATACAAAGCTTTTTTAACTCAGTAAATATAATTAGGAAAAAGTTGATCAATGAAATCGGGGAGTTGCTCGACATACACCTCTTCTTCAATAAAACCATTCAAAAAGGCACATTTAACATCCATTTGAAACAATTTAAAATTTTTAAAGATAGCAAATGCTAAAAACATTCTAATTGACTCCAATCTTGCAACCGATGCAAAAGTTTCGTCATAATCAATATCCTCCTCTTGATTGTATCCTTAGGGCAACTAAACAAACTATACTTCTAGTCATTATGCCAAATTCATCAAGTTTATTTCTAAAAACCTATTTTACTTCAATAACATGGAAATATTTAGGTCTAGGAATAAGTTTTCAAACATTATTTCTTTAAAATTTGTTTAATTCAACATGCATAGCTAAAACCCAAAATTCATCATTCAAAGCATCATCAACACGTTTAGGTTCAATTTAGGATAAGAAACCTACATTACCACACTCACTCATAGCCTTCGAGCGAGTTAAAACTCCTTTTGATGGACTCCCTATAATTTACTCCTTGGGATGATCCGGTGCAAATCTCCAAGCTTTGAGGAGTTCCTCTTGATTTTGTTCAAGATTCCCTTTTCCATCTTTTGGTGCATCCGTTGAGGGTTTGTCATTTATTTGCATGAGTTCCAATCCTTTCTCAATATCATCATCATTCCTAGGCACACCATCTTGAGAACCATCATTAGTTTCATCAAAAGTAACGTTTATAGATTCCTCAGCAACGAGTGTTCGTTTGTTAAAAACTCTATAACTCTTACTCCTTGATGCATATCCCAAAAATATACCAACATTAATCTTTGAATTAAACTTATCATGGTGATCTTTAGTGTTCAAGATAAAATATTTACAACCAAAAATACGAAAATAACCAATGTTTGGTGTTTTGCCAAAATAGAGTTCATAAGGTGTTTCCTTGAAAATAGGTCTAATTAAATCACAATTTAAAACATGATAATCCGTATTGACGGTTTCTGCCAAAAAATATTTTGGCAAATCAAAAGCATTAATCATTGTTCGTATCATCTCTTGTATGATTCGATTTTTTTGTTCAATAGCATCATTTTGTTGTGGTGTTCTTGGAGCAGAAAACGTATGTGTTATACCATGATGGTCACAAAAATCACTAAAAGGTTTATTTTAAAATTCACCACCATGATCACTTCTAATTTTAAAGATTTTCAAATCCTTTTTATTTTTAACTCTTTTTGTAAAATGAGAAAATTCTTTTAAACATTTATTTTTATTTGTAAGAAAAATCACCCATGTAAAATGTGAAAATTCATCAACAATAACAAATACATAGAATTTACCTCTAAGAGAGGCAACACACATAGGATCAAAGAGATCAAAATGTAGTAATTATAAAAGTTTAGTAGTGGATACCTCATTTATGGATTTGAAAGAATTCTTAGTTTGTTTACCTTTGGCACACTCATCACAATGAGAATCTTTGACATACGTTAGACTTGGTAGACCTCTTACCAAGTTCTTCTTTGAAAGCTTAGATATTAACTTCATATGAGCTTGTCCAAGTCTCTTGTGCCAAATCCAAGGATCTCCGCCATGTCACTTAATTTGTTTAAAAATTATGTCATACCCTTTGAAATTCTTAGTTTGTTTAAAAATTATGCCATAGCCTTTGTCACTTAAAAGCTTAGATATTAACTATTTTCAAATTCTTAGTTTGTTTAAAAATTATGAGATATTAACTATTTTCAAATTCTTAGTTTGTTTAAAAATTATGTCATAGCCTTCAAGGAAACACCTTACGAACTCTGTTTTAAATTCTTAGTTTGTTTAAAAATTATGTCCAAGGATCTCCGCCATGTCACTTGGTAAGAACTTTGAAATCCAAGAATCTTCTTTGAAAGCTTAGATATTAACTATTTTCAAATTCTTAGTTTGTTTAAAAATTATGCCATAGCCTTTGTCACTTAATTCTTAGTTTAAAAATTATGTCATAGCCTTTGTCACTTAAAAGCTTAGATATTAACTATTTTCAAATTCTTAGTTTGTTTAAAAATTATGTCATAGCCTTCAAGGAAACACCTTATGAACTCTGTTTTAAATTCTTAGTTTGTTTAAAAATTATGTCTCCACAATTCATTTACAATGTTAGTAAATCGAGAAAATATATCGTTAATTGACTCGTTAGGAAGAATTTTAAATTACTCATAATCATGCATGAGGCTACTAATTTTGGACTCTTTTACTTGGGGGTTCCTTCATAAGTAACACATAGTTTCTCCCAAATCTCATGTGCGGCTGCACATATGGAGATCCTATTCTACTCATTAGGGGTGAGACCACAAATCAAAGCGTTCATAGCTTTAACATTTAGGTTAGCCAAGTGCCTTTCATGTTCGGTCACATCTTTATTAGACTTCTTAATATATTTCTTCTCTATTATCTCTAGGATGTCAAGATCAATGCATCGTAAGTAAATTCTCATCCTAACTTTCCAATATGCAAATTTATTGCCGGTGAACAAATGGGGTCTAGTGGTTGTTGATCTTCAAGCATATGCACATTCATTGTAGAATCCATTTAGATCTTTTCTCTAAGGTGGTTAGACCTAAAAAATATGTAGAGACCTTACTCTGATACCAAATGAAATTACCCTAGAAGAGGGTCAATAGGGTAATGAGATAATAAATATGTAATTAAAAATTATCAATGCAATACACAAACCAAATTAAATACAAAGGCAATAATATTCAACAACTTTATCTTGCTGGGAATCAAATTACATCACTTTCTAGCCTTCCTCAATTTCCTAATCTGGAGGTATGTATGTAATTTGCTTACAACGTGTCTTCCACTCAATATGGCATCATATGTAATGTCTTTATGGTCTGAAATGCTCCCTCTTCTTCTAGTTTTTATCTGTTGCTCAAAACAGGTTGAAGTCTCTTGCTATGGCAAGTCAACCTCGCCTGCAGGTTAGTTAAGAATATTATTAATTCTTCTTTCAATCCCTCAATTTTTCTTGAGGTTCCTTTGACCTCCACCTAGGTACTGGCTGCAAGTAAGAACAAGATATCAACTCTAAAGGGGTTCCCGCATTTACCAGTACTTGAGGTTAGTTTTGTAGCTGTCTATTTTTACTTCAATATGGGTGCTGGTTTTCTCTGCCTTTCTAGTCCTTAACTTGCCAAATACTTGTCGTTTTCACATGTGTTATTGCTGATATTACCTTATGAACTTAAGACTGTTGAAACTGTTTTCAGCTTCATTGATTCTCAGTGGCCTCAAAATTTAAGGAGCATAGGACGTTGGCCGCGAGGGCGGAGCGAGAGGAGGAGGGGAGGAAGGAGGAGGAGGAGTCAAGGAAGGAGTTGACGACAGCGAGGATGGAGGAGGAGGGGAGAGGCGGAGGGATTTGGAGGGAGGGGAGGAGAGATAAAGTCGGCCACGACACACATACCGCTTCGACCACTGCAGGTTTTGCAGTCGCTAATGCTAATCTGTTCGGTTTTGCAAATGGAACTGCTCGAGGAATGGCAACTCGAGCCAGGTTGGTTATGTACAAAGCTTGCTGGGGATTCTATGGATGACCGGTCTCTGACATAGTTGCTGCCATCGACGCTGCAGTCAAGGATGGTGTTCATATCCTCTCTCTATCTCTTGGTGGAGGACCTGAAGAATTCGATGTTGATGTTGTCGCTATCGCCACGTTTGCTGCTGTTCGTAATGGCATATTTGTCGCATTTTCTGCAGGCAATAGCTGGCCAGATGAAGGATCTCTCGTTAACATTGCTCCGTGGATCACGACGGTCGGCACTGGATCAATCGATCGCAAGTTCCCTGCGCGTTTCACGCTAGGGAACGGTGAAGTCTACGTTGGACAATCTTTATATCAGCAATCACCAAACTTTACAGGATTTTCTCCTCTTGTTTATGTGCCGCAATGTTTGATGTCTGATACAGAAATAACACAACTCGTCAAGGAAAAGATCCTCGTATGTGAAAATGCATTTGTTGAGCTCGGTATGAAAGTGGCTAAATCCAGAGGTGTCAGTCTGATCAGACTCAATGGCAATTATAGCAGCGAAGGAGTTATCGTTAAAGCATTCACATTGCCAGGTTTGACATTAGGCTACTTTGAAGCACAGAAGTTGATCAAATACATAAACTCAACCTCAAATCCAAGAGCTTCGCTTCAATTCTCATATCGCTGGTGTCGCTGTCCTCATATCGCTGTCCTGTACTCCAGTACTTTGATGTCCTATCCTCATATCGCTGGTGTCGCTGCGCTTCTCAAAGCAGAACACCCAAATTGGTCGCCAGCAATGATTCGATCAGCGATGATGACCACAGCGTTCCCACTCGACAACAGCTATTGCCTAATTTTCCTCGACGAAAACCTAAAGCCTGCGAATGCACTAGCAATCGGTGCAGGCCATGTCGATCCTGTGAGGGCGAAAAATCCAAGGCTGGTGTATAACCTAGGAGTACAGGATTACATCAATTTTCTCTGCACAATGAATTACACCGAGACACAAATTAAGAGGTTCGTGCCAGAGCCAAGCTCGTGTTCAAAATTTGGAGGAGGGGTGGGAGATCTTAACTACCCGTCTTTCATGGCGATATTCGACGTAGAGACAAATGAGAGGACGTTGACGAGGACCTTGACGAAGGTCTCGGAGCTGCTCAAGACGAACTCGCTTCCATCGCAAAGAATGGGCGGTGGTGGAGAGGGCCGAAGGAGGAGGAGGAGGAGAGGAGGGAGGGGGAGGAGAAGATTGAGGGGATTGGGAAGAGGGAGGAGGAGGGAGGAGGAGGGAGAGGAGGATGAGGGAGAGGGGGAGGTTGAAGAGGATGAGCAGGAGGAGGGAGAGGGGGTAGGAGCAGGAAACTATATTTAATGAGGGTTTTTTTATAAAAAATCCCAATCAGCACTGGCCGGAACAGTAACTACGGCCAAATTTAAGGCCTATATGGCGCCGGAGTTGAGAAAATATACCAATCTGACAAAACTAAAAGAAAATATACCAACTTGTCACCAAGCCTCATATATATATATATATATATATATATATATATATAGAGAGAGAGAGAGAGAGAGAGATTAGAGAATAGTTAGTCAATAGTGACATGCGATATGTTCACGAGATTCAGTGCTTCGATCTACGTTCCCGACCACCTCTCCCGATGGTAAATACACTATCACACTTGGTTTGGAAGCCAGAACTTCTTCACAACGATCTCCTCTTGAGATCTTACAATCCACACAAGTGATCTCCTCGAGATCAATCTCACCACACAATCACAATGGAAGAAGGAAAAACTCTCACAACAATCCTATGATAAGGATCAAGTGAAGAACAAGTAAATCTCAAGGGTTATGGAGTGTGGATGTGAGAAAAACAAAGATTTAAACATAATTGAGGATTAAGAAATGAAAGTTTGAGCTCAAGAACACTTAGAAAACCAAACTTAAGATTTTTCTCTTACTTAGTTGATTACTAAAGTGAAAAGAACAATAGGGTATATATAGAAACCCCAAAGAAAAGCTTAAAACCCAAACAAGTACCAAAATACTGAAAAATTAGCTAGTATAAAAACTAGGCGTTACAGTAGATCCGGTAGACCGATGAGTCATTGATACGAGTCACCGTGCGAGCACCCTTTGGTCGCAGAATTACCAAAAGGTGGGTTGAGAAGAAGACAACTAAAACACAAGAACAATTCAGTATGGCGAAGGAAAATATATTCTCTAGATTATGAAGAATCAATTATTACAAATCTCTCCCTCACAATCTCACTAGAATCGAGAATAACCCCTCAATCCTCTCTAAACCCTAATACAATGATTAGAATCTCTCTTATTTCCCTCTCATTTAAGATCTCATAGATCCTCACAATCTAAACCCTAATCCTTTTGATTAGGATCTTACTTAGACCTAAAACCCTTTAGATCTACATCTTGGCCTCTCACCCTCCTCTGTTTAGAACCCTAAACAGTCCCTATTTATAGGGTTTATAACATGGTGGCAGTCTGGTAAATAACCAGACCAAACCTAAACAGGAAAACATGTAAACAGAATCCTTAAAGAATCTGGAAAGCTCCGATGAGTCGACTCATGAATAGTTATGAGTCGACTCATAACTAATGAGTCGACTGGTCAGAGACGTTTTGTTAACAAGGCTTGATTTCTTGAGTCGACTCAAACATACACATGAGTCAACTCATGAGGCTGAAAACTGAAGCTTCGATTCTTTGATTCTTCGCCTCGCTCCAGGCTCCATCCTGTGCTCTGCCGCGTCGCTTCACACCACTATTTTCAAGATATCATGAGAATCACCTATCCTCAAGCTCCCACGAGGATCATTTTTTTCCGAAGAGAAGATACACCCGTATCAGTCATGTCCAATCGACCGACTATTTGATCATTATAGACTTATCAATCTGGAACTAGTTTGGTAGACCGACAATGATATCCTGGTCGACCGACCCTCAGCCATCAGTCGACCGCACAAGGTAAATCGGTTGACCGAATGTGACTGTCTACAGGGTCATGAAAACAGCTCTTTTGGTCAGTTGACCGACGGGCAAAGCTCAGTTGACCGAAAACATGCATATACAGGAATTTGATATTTAGTTAAAAATATGACTTTGTAAAATCAAAATAAAATATCAAATAAATTCTAAAAATTATAAAACTTTGGAAAATGCTTAAAAACATGTTTTTGAACATGTTACAAAAGGAATTTTTGAAAGATCATTTACCAATAGTAAAAACTATTCATTTTTCAAAATAGTTCAAAAACAAAATTTTTGTGAAAGTTTGTGTATGAACCCAATGAACTTCAAATGTTATTAACTCAATAACTTGTCTACATTAAGCACTAGAGAGAAAGAAAAATATGCAAATATCTCACATATATGAATATAATTATTTGGTCTTGATATTTGCTCATATTTAGATGAAGCTTCTCGTTTGAATTGAGAAAGCTTTGCTTCACCAACTAGCATTCGCCTTAATGGATATTATCGTTGTAACTCTTTGTTCTATCCAATCCTTCAACTATGGCACTAACTTGCTTGATAAATTGTAATCTACACAATATAACTCAACAAGCAATTAGCACCAACACTACTATAAAAGGTCCTATTAGCAACGTTTATTTGATTAACCGTTGCTAATAAAGGCTATTAGTAATGGTTATGATAATAACTAATTCCAACTTCCTATTAATAACGGTTCACCTTTTCATTTACAAGTTAAATTAATTAAAATATCAAATCTGTTTTGAAATAAAATGAGGGAAATGAAAATTTGGACGCTCAAGAAGTTAGAAAATTTTAAAAATTGGGTGACTCCTTCCTTCTCCTCTCTCATTCTCTAACGCTCAAACCCTAACCCTAGAATCCCCACTGCTTATTGCCTCCCCCCGCAGCTCCTCCTCCATCCCCACACTAGCCTTCCCCAGCCTAAACCCCCGTCAG